GGGGGGGGGGGAAAGAGGAGATGAGTTTTGGGAAGGGTAATAGTAAATATGATGATGGTGCTGATGAAAGGAAAATGAAGTGTAAGCAAAATTTACGAGGAGCAGGGGAAGTTGAGGGCGACAGTAAGGAAGAGGGGAGGGGATGAGGAGGACGATGAGGAGGATAAAAAGATTACCAGGTATTCTAAGAAAGTCAAAATAAGGTTGATGATTAGGTAGGAAAGAAGGGGTAGACAGGCGGGCAGGCAAACAGACAGACAAACAGCATTCTGAACGGGCATAATAGAAAAGAAGAAGATATGTATGAAAGCACGAGAAACCACGATCCTCACCAGACTGAGCGACTTCCGAGACTGCGCCACCAAACATGACGTTGAGGTTGATGACGGGGGCGCTGTTAGTCGTGTCCTCTACTGTGACGTCAACTTCCGCTCTTGACACAAGGGGAGGTAAACCTTTGTCCAAACATTCCACAAGAAGTCTGCATGGGGTAAAAAGGGGGTGGGTGGGGTGGGATGAGAATTTGTGTTTTTTGTCAAAACTTTTGACGAATTTGTATGATGTGTGGCTAGTACAAAAGTGTGAGTTCGAATATTGTGTCAACTGAATACAATTGTAAGAAGGAACGAAGAGTTTTATTACGTATAAGTGTGACATGAACAATGATATAATTAAATAGATTTAATACTAGTCCCACCATATGGTAGAAAACGAATTTCTAATCAATTGCCTCCTCTATACCTACCTCGCTTCTTCCCTCGGTCCCGTCATCCTTTTATTTCCTTCTTATACTCCAATTATTCTTCCCCCTTATAAGTGTTACTCTTTTCCTCTTCCTCATTCTCCTCCCTCCTCCTCCGCTCTTCATTCCTCCGCATACTCCTCATCTTCATTTCTAAGCAACCTCCTCCTCGTCCTCGCTCCCCCCCCCCTTCTCCACGTTCATCAGCATCCTTCTCCTCTCCCTCCACCTGCCTGCCCGACCACTATTATAGCATCGAGACATCAGTCTTGTCCCCCACTCACACACAGCCTGCACTCACCGAAAGGTCTTCCCTTGTCTCTCCAGCAGAGACCCGGCTACAGTGATCTGCCCTGTGCTGGCGTTGATAGTGAAATACTTCCTGACGTCATCACGCTCTAGAGGGGAGAACCTGTACTCTTTGACCCCGAACTTGGGCGTGTCGTAATCTGTGGCGGACACTCTGTGAAGACAGAATGAACAAAAATAATTGTAGCCTCTTTTTGTTGTCATTGGACAGATGGTCATTGGTTGAGATATGGGTAGACAGAAGCTTTATATAGTGACAAACAGATGGACAAACGAACGAATAAGTGGACAGGGAAAAAGGCTCAGAGGTGGAGATAAGGAAAGTCAGAGAGGGACAAAGGAGGAAAGAGATGAAGAGAGAATGAGAGACAGACAAAGAGAGTGAGAGGGAGAGAGGGAGAGAGGGAGAGAG